CTGCAGATCCTACTGGAGCAGGCCCGGGCCAGAGCTGCGAGGGAGCAGGCTGCCGCCAACGCTCACATCCTGGCCCATGTCGGCCGCCGCTGAACTTGAGGGAGGGGGTCACAGTGATGGGCCCACCTGGATGGGGCCACCTGGAGGGCAGAGGCAGAGCTGGTTGATACTACTTCTGGGCACGGGGCATGTGGACACTGCCATATGGAGTCACTGCCATGTGGTGTCATATCACATCTGAGTGCCTCACCGAGTCACAGTGTGTCTGGATGCCTGGACGTTGCCATGCCGGGTGGCTGCCAAGTGGAGTCTTGCCATGCTTGGGAGTCTCACGGACTTATGATGTGTCTGAACAGCTTGGACTCTACCGTGGCAGGTCGCTACCATGTGGAAGCTTGTTCTGTGTGGGTGCCCCACGGTCACAGCATCTGGACATCACCACATATGGTCACTCACAGGAACCTCAATACAGGAGCCTATCGCTGCACCTGAGACCAGTCCACCTAAGACCAGTCCGACAGGTCTGCCCTGCCCCGTAGGTCAGGGAAGTGCTGCCTGCATGTTTTGTGCTCCCTGAGGCAGCAACCATCCCAGATGGATGGGGCTTCGACGTCTCCAGGCACGAATGGCCTTAGTGGGAGGTCTGTGGCTGTGGCAGCCTTGCCTGTGTGGGGGTGTGTGTGCATGTGTGGCTTCACCTCTGGTATCTGACAGCTATGAGTATGTGTGAGCAAGGTGAAGACATGCGAGGGGGCTGGGAGGAACAGGTGCTTGTCTCCCAAACCTGCGTGAAGCATGCACAACACACAGCCAGGCACCGTCCTACCTACACACCTGCACACCCAGCCTCGGCCCTTGGACACACATGGCTCAGGGGTGGGGAGGCGCAGGCTGCCCCGGCTCCAGCCAAACTCTGCCCCTCCCTCTTCAAATTGTCCTGAACGAATGTGCTCACTTTTCGGGGCCTGTTTCCTCATCTGTGAAGCAGAGCGATGCCACCAAGCTTCCCGTGAGCATTGATGGACAAGTGTATGTGAAGGTTCTGGCGTGCAGGAAGAACTCAATAAACGTAGTGATGAGAAAGTCGCACTGTCGTGTGCACCCGGACAGTGACACGTGGAGGCTGAGTCACAGCTGGCTGCTGCCCCTCTTCCCACTCCCCACTCCTCATTTCACAGACCTCTCCCGGACAGTGTGCACAGGCTCGCCTGAGGATGCGGCTGCCGCGCTGGGCGGTGTAAACCCCAGCTGGAGACAAGGGCAGACACTGGACAGCATGGACAGCGCTGGCTAGAGAGAGGCAATAATGATACGAATGAGGCCGCCTGGGCTGGGGGCACTGATGTTATCTCATGGTCGAAGGCAGCCCTGGGGGGCGGGCCCAGGGCAGGGCTGGAGAGGCGGGGCCATGGGCAAGCTTCTCCCTCCAGAGCCAGAGGGCGGAGTTGCCCAACTTCACACCGTAGGGGGCAGTAGCCCAGGCCAGTTGGGTTGCAGAATGGACAGAGGCACGGAAGAAGGCAGCTCCCTGATGGCCTCTGGGTCAAGGAGCAGCAGGCAGGGTAGGAACGGAGCAGCATGGAAAGGGCGGGGGGGATTGGGGAATGACTTGGGCACAGTGGGGGTGACGCTGGAAGGGCTATGAGGGTATTGGGGATCTCTGTAGATATAGGGGTGCTCTGAAGGGCATCAATCTGTCAGTGGTCTGGAAGAGGGGGAACATTGTCGCCTGCAGGGGAAAGGGGGCTGGGCCAAGGGGGAACTATAAATAGCTTCTTCCTCCAGCCCAGGGGGAGGGACAACCAGCTGGAGCTGCCCGAGGCCCTCCCACTAGGCCCTTTGCTGGCCTCCAAGGGGTCACGTTTGTCCAGGTCCCTCCTCAGGGATCACACCGGTTTGAGGAGGCCCAGAGGCTCATTTGGGAAGGTTTTCATATGATGTGGCTTTAATCCTTAAACCAGCATTTCTAGGATACCTACTGCGAGCCTTGTGTCCTTCCTGAGCACTTATTGTGTTCTCTGTACTGATCATGAACCTCTTTGAGACCATTCTGTGGTCCCGGGATGGTCTTGAATCACTTTTAGCACCTACTGTGTGTCCTGTGCCAGGCCGGAATCAGCAAGTGCAGATCATGGTCACATGGCTCCGTGCCCCCAAGGGGGAACCTCACACCCTCTGTGAGCTCTGGGTCCAGAGACACACTGGACGATCGTTGGCCAGAAATGACCAGAGGAAGCTGGAACTCCTGGGAACTCCCTGAAGCTCTCAGTGGCGGCAGAGAGAGGAGGGGAGTAAAGGGGAAGGGAGGCAGCGAGAGCGGCCGGCCCACTGCAGCCTGTGTCTGTGTGGGCCTGAGTGCAGAGCTCGTTAGTGTGTGTGCGCCTGAAGCTGTGTTCACAGTCATGTTTTCGTGCACTGGTGTGTGGGTTTGTGTGGGATTTACTGATGTCCCTGGGTCTTTATGCTGCAAAGGGTGGCTTGGTGGACTGGCCAGGACTGGATGGAAGAATTTGAGCATTGAGAATTGAGGACTCCAGGCACCTCAGAGCTTGTAGCCTGGGAAACTGGTGGGATGTCCAGTGGTCAGTGCAGAGGGCACCACGGGAGGCAACCAGGGCCAGGCTAGGCGGGTTCACGGTGGGGAGAGACTGAGCAGGATGTGTTCACACACGAGTGCACACTGACATCCTGGCACCCTTCCCACCCCCGGGCTAGGCTAGCTGGTTCACTTTGGGATGGCCCCAAGGAGGGAAAAGCCATGAGGGCCAGTTTTTCTATTGAGTATCTACTGATATGGAGGGAGCAGAAAGCCAGGAGACCATCTCCATGGAGGGGACAAGTAAGTGCACAGGTGTGGAGGTGGGAGTGGGCGATAGTGCAAGGTGCGGGAGGTTGGAAAGGCCGGAAGTGGCGCTGAGTTCATCCTGCGCTGTGGGCTGGCTCTGTGACCCTGGGCCCCACTTCCCTTCCTCGGTTTCCTGAGAAATGGGGTCATGGGAGGGGAGATGGGGAATAACCTCAGAGCAGATGTGCACCCTGGCCTTGGGAAGGGGCCCCAGGCTCCGCCAACTGTCGACCTATGGCCTCCCACTGGATATAGGGACTTGGGCGGGTATGTCTGGGTCAGCCCAGGCTTAGATTAGGGGAAGAGTGGGAGGTGGAGAGCCACTGCCTTTCCTGGGAAGCCAGGCTCAGACGGACTGGGTATGGCTTCCCAGACGTGGCCCTGGCTTCCTGTCTAGCCCTGGCTACCCTCTACCCCAAGCCTTTGACTAACATCACAAGGGGGCTGGGGAGGGGTGTGGGCAGCTGGGGTGCTGAGTGTCTGCGGACATTAGAGGTGGAAGCCTTTGCAATCAGTGCTGGTGGTTGGAAAGGGTGTGGCATGTGGTAACATGGTCTCTGAGGCCAGAGTGGCCCAAAGATGACCTTGGCAGTGGATAGGAGATGGACAGGAGGGCTGGTTGTGTCAGGAACAGAATGAGTGGCTTTAGAGGAGTAGGAAGCAGGAGGGTGGTCACAAGGGGCACCCTGCTCATCAGGAGCCACCCATGGGTGTGCTCAGAGCTGCTGGGCATGAGGTAGAGGGAGGTGGGGGTGGACACTGCAGAGGGAGGGTGAAGGAGGAAGTGGCTGAATCTGTCTGAGGCAGAGCATTCCCAGGGGAGGCAACTAGAGCTGGTTTCAAGGAGAGTCTAGGTGGGTTTCCAGCATGCAGACCTCCTGAATCTTCACTTCCTGTGAAGCGGGCAAGCCATCTGTGTCAGTTATCTTAAATATCCTTGCCAGGCTCTGAAGGGATGGGGGTGATTTGGGGACTAACCCAAGACAGGGGTATGGCAAGGAGGGCAGAAGTGCTGCACCTGTAGTGTACTGGATTGAGCCTTGTTCTCCATGGCCCTAGCACCTGGCTCCTGGCTGGGCACGCTTTGGGCAGAGAGAACTTGAGGTTGCAGTGATCTTCCCAAGGGGTGTGGTGGAGGACATCGCTAGAGGGCAGTGTGATAAATTCCAACAGTGTCGGTAGGGCCCCGGGGGCAGAGAGAATCCAAAGCTTAAAGAGACTGAGCTGAGGAGTCAGAGAGGAGAGTGACCCAGGGGTTTTGAACTCCCAGATCTCTCCCTTGCCCTTTGCCTCGATTGCATTTTTTAGAGACAGGAGAGAAATAATATAATGAACGATAACATTACTGTGCTTTAGACAGACAATGACACATTTAATCTTGTAAGATTGATGACTTCCATATTCCATTTTCCTGAGATAGGCTGACTAAAAAAAGTGAAACTTACGATTTAAAATTTAATTGGTAAAAATGAGTCCTGTTAGGAGTAAGATGCTGCCAGGGCCTAGCGAATCCCCAGGGAGCTTGGTTAGGAGGGCTGGGTTTTGGTCTGAGCTTCCAGCAGCTAAGGCAAAGAGAGAAACACGATCAATTTTGAGATTCGCCTTGTCTGTGAGATAAAGGAGCTTTCAGCGTAGTTGAGCAGGTCGCTCCAATGGGCGGGGGAGAGTCCCAGGACTCAGAGCAGATGAGAGAGTCGGGCGCAAGTTCCGCAGGCACAGAGGGGTTGCAGCCGAGACCTCATGCTAGTGATGAGAGCCAGTGTATGCACACACCTCCCTCCTGGGGGCCCTGAGGTCCCTCGTAGCAGGGAGCAGAACCTCGGGTGCCCTGAGGACAAGGTGGCGGCGCCCACGGAGAGGCCTTGGGAGATGCCTATGCAAATCAGCACGGTCGAGTAGAGTGTGCTGGGCTGGTTCACGCGGGGCGGGGCCTGCACCATCCAGGACTTGCATCTGCTGGGAGTTGGGCATGCGCGTCGTGGATGCCCGCACGAAGGGCGGCCCGCTTGGCCAGATCCCGGCTGGTCCGCGAGTTGGGCATGCGTCGTCGGAGGCCAGGCCCTCCAGTGGGGGTGGAGCCTACTCGTTCCGGGGCGGGGCCTGCGAGGCGTTGAACACTCGTCATCGCGGCTTGAGGAGGGGCGGGGCCTATAGGCGGGGCCTCGAGTGGCCGGAGTTGGCCCAGCTACCAGGGGCTAGAAGCGTCGCAGCCCGACTCCTCACGAGTCCGGGATGGCGTCCCCACGGGAATTGACCCAGAACCCCCTAAAGAAGATCTGGATGCCGTATAGCAATGGGCGGCCCGCCCTGCACGCCTGCCAGCGCGGCGGTGAGGCAGGGTCCGCAGGGAGAGGGGAGGGCGGAGCACGGGGATGGGTGGATAGGGAGGCCTGGGCAGTGGTCTCGCGGGGAGAGGGGGCCGGGAGCCGGTGGGGAACCAGGAACAGGTGAGGCTGTCTTGGCTGGTGGGAGGGGAGCAGGAACAGGTGGGGTCCGGCGACAGGTGTGGCAGAGCAGGGGGCGGGGACAGGTATGTGATGATGTCTCAGCTCGGTGGGGCTAGGTCTGGCCGCCATCACCTCGGGGAGTGACCCAGGCCCATCTGCATTCCACAGTGCCCTCCCCGCCTCAGGCCTGGGTAGCGCTCGGAGGCTCTGTCCTGCCCTCTTTGCAGGCCAGAGAGCGTGGGCCGGGTGGTTGAACCGGGTCTGAGTGTGTTGACCCTAGAAGAATTGGCCTTTCTGAGCCCAGAACTTTCAAAGGCCTAAGAGTGGGCTAGTCCTCCAGAGGGAGGAAGGGCACTTCTTGGCCTTGATCCCCCATCTCCATGCCCAAAAACAGAGTTTTAGGAGGAATTTCAGGGAAGTGTAGATGTGAGCAGGATAGAGACAGGGAGAACATGGTGCCATATCGGCCTGTCTGTGTGTCCAGGGCACACAGCATTCTCGTGGGGTCATGGGTAAATGCTCAAATCCAAGGGGGACACATCTAGGAGACATGCTGAAATTCGGGGGCTCACCTTTCCTGGGGTCCTGGGTGTTTAATCCACTACCCAGACTTTCCGCTTGTCCTTCAATGAGTCTGGAACCTTTTTATTACCAAGAAAAATAAACATTTGTTTTAGGAGTAACTGAAACATTGTGATGAATTTGTGAGTTGGCAAGGACCTCAGAGAACATCTCGTCCACCTCTCGGTACAGATATGGAGGTGGAGGTCACAAGACTGGGCTGTGTGTGAGGGGTCTCCCTGCACTCCCGACTGCTTGGGCATGATAAAGGAAGGGACAGTGCCGTCTTTGAGGCCAGCCTGGGGTCCTTGGCTTTGACCATGATGCGAGTCCTGCCTCACTGTGGGAACCGGTAGAGGGCGGCCATGGCTTTGACCAGACATTCTGGTAGGTCATGGCTCTTACTATAACGTAGGTGCTGGTGAGGGACCAAGGCTGTGATCATGCTTTTGGTCCTGGGGCCATGGCTTTACAGGCAGTGTGCTCTGAGTCTTGAGGGCTATGCCCACACCCTAACCAGCCCTCCTTCCAGACTTTCCTGGAGGTGTGGAGGCCGAGGCCCCTTCCTGTTGGGAGCGGCTGCTGTTACTACATAAAGGGGAAGGAGCGAGAACCTGGGCTTTGGAGGCGGGGACTCTCAAGCCACATCATGGCTTAACTGTGTGATCTTGGGCAAGCGGCTGACCCTCTGGGCCTCAGGTTCCTCACGACGGTCATCGTCCTGCTCCATGAAGCTGCTGTGAGCCTCTTACTGAGTAGGGGCTCGATAAGGGGTGGCCGAGCCTTTTGTGGTTTCCTCTCCGCCACTCTTTCTCTGCTTCTGGCTACTTCAGACTCTCCAAGTCTGCAATTAAAATATGGCGCTGGCATGAGCAGAGGGGTCTCGTGCCATCGCAGTGTCTCGGGGCGGAGAGGAGGTGGCAGCCAAGAGGCCAAAGATGGGAGGGTTTGGGCCCAGGCTAGGGTCAGAGTTCACAGCAGGGAGTAAGTAAGCAGTGACTGAGGCGGAACCTGCTGGTGCAGCACCTGGAGTTCCCAGAGCCTACATTTGTGCAGCGTCTTGTCTTCTGCAGGGCGGGCTTATGACTAGGTTGGAGGACCATGAGGACAGGTGAGGACCCGTTGGTGGGTGGTGGGTAGAAGTTGACTTGATCACAGTGCTTTGTAGAGACGAAGACGCGGGGCCCATGGCTGGTCTGTGCGTGCGGAGGCTTGTGTCTGGGGTCTAGCCCTCGCTCCTCCGGGCACCAGAGGCAGGTGGACTGAGGGCTGTCCCATGCGCCTGTCACGTCCACTCTCCACTAGCAATTCTTCCTCCTTTTGATAAAATTCAGAGCCACACGCGAGGTTCGGAAGCTGTTACCTTCTTCATCATCGACCCCTCAGTTCAGACCTGGAGGAGCTCAGCGGGCAGGTGAGGCAGGGGACGGAGAGAGGACTTGGAGAGTGGCAGAAAAGACAATATTTATCTGATGGCTTTTTTAGCCAAAAGGTGTCAAAACCCTTCCTGTGACTGGTATGTGCACAGAACATGGGAGAGATGACTTTCTGTCCCCTCTGAACAAGATAGCAGGTTGCCTTATTTGAAAGAACTCTTCCTTCCCAGCCTGGCCCAAGGAAGTGGGAACAGACACAGTTCAGGAATCGGTTCTGGAAGCCACCTCGGGGACTTGTGGCTGTCTCTGTGGTAACACTGTGAGAAAATGGTCACTGTTCGGCATCAGGCTTGTGTCCGGCCTCTTGGTGCCTTGAGCAAATGTACAGGAAAAGGAACTGGCGAGGGAAGTTGAGTTGACATGTCTTCAGATTTCCTTCCGCATATACCCAGGGTGCTAAACAGTGTGTCCTGCTGTCCCGTTTCTCAGTGTCGGGGCCATTGAGGGCCCAGAGCTGCAGTTCTGGCTGCATACCCCAGCTCCCCTGGTCCAGGCTCTGTGTTTTGGCGCAGTCGTGTGTGTGCCCTCCATGGGGGCCGGCCTTAGTTTGCAATTTCACATTGCCGGGACCTTCCCAGTGTTTTACTGCTGGAAGCATAGCTGTTGTGAATATACTTGTACTTTGATTTTTCTTTTGAGTCATTTCCTTGGCAGTTTATCTTGAGGAACAGAGACAATAGGTAACTTATTACTCTTGCTTTGCACCCAGCCCAGAATTGTTGCCCTGCCTGCTCACCATGGCTGTGCACGGGGAAGGGGAATGGTGTCAGCAAATGTGGGAGGAGGCCAGGGAGTCTCTGGGAAGATAGAAGGTGTGCAGAGGACGTGCAGGACCCCAGTCCTGAAGTTGCGGAAGAGGCCATCAGGGGGGTAATCGGAAGGGGCAGCCGCATCGTAAGGAGCAAGAGGGATGCAGGTCCCCCCCTCCCAGTTAGCAGTGATGCACTGTCCTGCAGCTGCTTGAGAGCCCCAGCCAGTGGCCAGGAATTGTGCAAACAGCGCGGCTTACTGGCCTTCAGGATTCAGGGACTTGCCTAACTTGTTTTCCTCTCGCCTTAGTCAATGCCGAGGTTTTTCTACAAGTTTCCTCACTCTTGCTCACAGTCAGTCTATTTCGTGAGATCCCTCCTTCCCTCCCCTGGGGTTTACGGTGTTATATATGTCCAAAGGTCGTGCACGGGAGCAGTGGAGCCCCCACTGGCAAGCAGGGCCCTTTACTTCTCCGTAGGGCCTGCCTAGAGACAGACAAGTGCCTCTGTGCCCCAAGTCCCAAGAGCAGTCGGTGCTGAGCTGCACCTGTGCTCTTAGCTGGGCATGCTGCCAGGGCTGGGCAGAGGGCACAGCTTTCCCAAAGCGCTCAGGCTTTTACATAGAGATAGCACTAGACCTTACTGAGGGACTGTCGTCCCATTTCACAGGTGAGGACACCGAGACACAGAGTCGCCAGTAAGTGTCAGAGTCAAGATGGGAACTCAGGCCTCTCTGACTCCTGACCCCTGAGCAGGGCTGGCCCTGGGGCTGCTGTGCTCCTTAAGGAGACAGCCTGAGCAGTTCGGCCTGGCAGTCTGTCTAAGGAGTGCTTCCAGGTGAAGGCACTTGCAGAGCCACGTGGGCAAAGGTGGGGCACTGACAGGTCTCCACCTCTGTCTGTCTATCTGTGTACGGTGGGTTCACCTGGCCCAGGCCCTGAAGATGATGAAAGGGAAGCTTCCTGAGGCTGCTGAGGTGAGGCCACATTGAAAGCTGAGCTGGGTCCCATGAGGCTGACAGTTCTGCTGCCTTGGTGTCTGTCCTAGCGGGCCGGGGTCTGGGAGGGTTGTGTCCAGAGCTTCCTCGCCTCCAGCCTCGGCAGCTTCTCTGGTTGGCACACTGACCTAGTGGCACATGGGATAGCGGTGGTGGGGTATCAGGGGACTGCCCTTGTGGGCATGGGCCTGGGTCTCTGGTCGCAACTCTTCGTGGGTTTGGAGATGCCTCTCTCCCTGCTTCTGCCCATAATCTTTGAGCACCAACTCTTGTGCCAGACCCCAGGACCCCGAATGGCTCAGACACTGCAGGGCTGCTTTCGCTCCAAGAGATGAGTCATGGGGGCAGACTCATCATTGAGATGACCGAGATTGGGGAGACAGGGCACCAGGTGAGCATGGAGGTGCCTTGGAGGAGGGACTCATGGAAGAAGCAGTTTTTGAGCTGGGTCTTGTACGATGAAGAGAAATGCCCTGCACCCACCGCCCCTCCCCACCGCTGCCCCCCCGGGAGGGAAGACAGTGGTGCTGTGTGAGCACGAATGCTGAGAGACTATTAGACTCTTGGGTGACAGGCAGGGAGTGGAATCCCCCGCTGGGTTTTGGCTCTGCCCTGCCTGCCACACGAACTCCCCAGCAGTGTCTAGCCAGGGGCATGCTAAGTGTGCATCAGGATAAGGGCTGGCAAGATCCCTCTGTGTCTGCTAGAGCCCAGACAGGTCTGGGGAATGAGGACATGCCAGCAGTGGCTTGAGACCAGCGTCTGGGTACGCTCAGGAAGCTGTCTGATATGAGGAGGCCCGGAAAGTGCCTCTGATGCCAGTCTCGTGTCCTGAGGCTGAGGACCCCGTACGTCGGGGTGGGCACAGCGGGAGGGGTCCCGGCCCTTGTCTAACATCGCTCCTTGCCTTTCAGTTTGCATGACCAACTGCCCGACACTCATCGTCATGGTGGGCTTGCCTGCCAGGGGCAAGACCTACATCTCTAAGAAGTTGACTCGCTACCTGAACTGGATTGGTGTGCCCACGCGAGGTGAGACTTGGCCTCGGCTTTCCAAGGGGGCATAGGGGCTGTGGTGGTCCGGGGGAGAAGAGGGAGAGCTAGGCTGCAGCAGGGCCCGGGGCGGGTCGAGGTCGGGAGTCGGGGAACGTTGCTGTTGTGCGAAGGCTGAGCCTCTCCTTTCCCCCAGAATTCAACGTCGGCCAGTATCGCCGGGACATGGTCAAGACGTACAAATCTTTTGAGTTTTTCCTTCCAGACAACGAAGAGGGCCTGAAAATCAGGAAGTGAGTGTGTATGTGTGTGTGTGTTTACAGAGAAGGCCCTGGGCCCCTGGAGCCCAGTCGCTGGCAATAACTGAGCTGCTCCTGCGCCCCGGCCTCGCCCTGTCCCAAAGGGCTGTGACACTGGGCTGTGACGGGGCTGCTCTCTTGACCTCTCAGGTGTAGGGTTGGGGATGGGATGGGTTTGGGGACAAGATGAGATGGTGTGTGGCCTTTTGGTGTCTGGCCCTGCCCTGCCTGGTGTTAATGAGCCCTTGATAAGTATATCCTGTGGGAAGGGAGGACAGGGCTTCGGGGAGATGTCTGAGGCTTAGCCAAGGCAGGTCAGGCTGGCTGCAGAGGCCCAGCCCTCCACGGGGATGGCCTCTGGCAGGGAGGGGAGCCCAAGCAGTCAGGGGTACAGGCCCCAGGGATGCGGCAGAGTGGGAGTAGGACCACCTCCTGGTACCTCACAAAGCCAGAAGGATCAGGCCTGGAACTGGGGCCTTTCTTCCCTTGCCCCCGCATAAGTCCCCTTCTGTGTATTTGAAGGATGGTTAGCATGTGCTTGGCATGTTCTTGGTATATGTGGAGTAGGCCTTAGCTTTGCTTTGAAGTGCTGGTCACTAGTTCACACTCCTGCTATTATTCATGGAGTGACAACTTTCAGTGAGATGAGAATTTGGAAATGATACCCACCCCACCCCACCCACGGCTTGAACTTCGAACTGAGTGCTTTCTCCGGAGAAACTGAGCACCAACTGGTAGTCTGATGAGCTATGCTAGGCTCCTCTTGGCAGGTATCATCTGAGGGATCAAGAAGCTTCCTTGCTCTTGCTCTGGGCCCAGCCATCCTGATAGGACATTGATCAGAGGTTGGCCCAGCTCTAGTAACTTCCCCAAGTCAAGCACAGCCCTAGGCCAGAAGCCGCCTGGGTCAGGCCACTAGGCGGCCAGCGCCCCATCTCGCCACTAGGTGGCAGGAGAGCCCCACTGTGGGTCTTGGCTCTTCAGCTCGCCTTTGCTGTTGGGTCAGTGGGGCTGGACCAGGCTGCTTCACCAAGAAGGAAAGAGAGTCTGACATTCAGGACTCTATGGCTGAATCGTGAGTGAAACTCAAGGCTGGGCTGTCTGGTGATGTCAGCTCGGACGAAACGGAAGGGACTGATATTGGAACTCCTACTGTGTGCTACGTGTGTGATGCCCATTGTCACCCTCCCCCCAATTGTATAGATGAGGAGACTGAGAGACTCAGACTTGAATCTAAGCCCATATACCACTAAAAACTCTTCTATCCATCATTCCAGAATTACCCAATAGTAAGTCAAAGGTCACGTCAAATGCAGATTCTACAACAGCCTCAAGCTGTGGGCACTCACTAGCTTGTCTGATCTTCCCTGTAGTGGGTGATGGTGCCTCGCTCTCCCAGATGCTGAGGCTAAGGTCAGAAAGTGACAGTATCGTCTGGAATCACTCAGGGTTTGAATTTGAAGCCAGGCCTGTCTGAATCCAACGCGTTCGTGTGGAGAACGTGAAAGCTGGCATTCCCAGAGCCCACCAGTCATGCTGCTCATTGAAGGTAGTAGTGTTGGAATTAATTTAAATTGGGGAACCCAGACTCAGAGTTTGGGAAGCCAGTCCAGGGTCATCCAGCTGGAGCAGAGGCCCCAGCAGTAGACACTGGGGGCGGCTCACGTGTGCCTCTCCGCAGGCACATCTTCTGGCTGTTGCTAGAAACCTTCCCTCATGTATTCAAAGCCTGGTTCTGGCCACTGGGCCACCTGGCCATTTCCCATTCACCAGTCCAAAATGCCCCACAGAGAACTGGCAAAATAAGAGTCGGACTTTTTAAAAATGGGAAGAGAAGGCTGCATTTTCCAGCGGCCTGTGTACTCACACGCTGTCGAGGTCCCTAGAGGTGCACGGTATTGAGATCTGTCCCTGGTACTAGGCACAGTGGAAGCTCTAGTAAAAAGCAAGTCAGTCATGTATGCACGACTGTACACCGTCACACGTGTACACCGTCAGGCACATTCATACTTGTGCAACAGTCTCATACCATGCACACCCCTTCCATAGGTATGCATGAGATCACACACACATACATACCCATGTGCACGCAGTTACACTGTATGTGTGAGATGTGAGTGTACACACACGTGGACGCATACACATGTAAATACTCAGACTCGTGCACATGTAGTCATTCGCGATCATACAGCACACACAAGGGCAAGTATACACACCCTTGCACATCTCTTGGCACATGTATGGGCATATACACACTTGTGCTCACCCTATGTGCTCACGTGGGTATATGCTTAAATGCACGCCAAGCACTCTCATACATGTGCACATACCACACGAGGGTGTGTGTACACACCCCATGTGTACATGGGTGTTCACACATGAGCACATCCTGTGTGCACATGTTTGAGCATGTACACCCCAAACCCTAAACTCATGCGCATGGTGCATGCACACATAGCCGTGCACACACATGCGCTCACTCAAATGCCTGTGCTTTTACAGTCACCCCACGCGAGGGCTTGGGGACACTGAAACCCACTAATTCTCCAGTTCTCTCGCACCAACTGAATATGTCCAACAAATCACTTCCGTTCTGACACTGCCTTCCTGAGGTGAGCGTCGGTCCCCACAGGGTAAGGGTTCAGCCCTCTAGACTGCCTTTACTTGAAGCACCAGTCGCAAGTCCTTGGGGCGGGGAGCCACCTGTACTTCTGACTGATCTACTGTCAATCAAGGGTTCCCACAGCTGTTACCAAAGCCCAGTAATTAAGTTCGTCTGCCTGCATGCTCTGGCCAAAATACTCACGAGCAGGGTTTTGCAGTAAAGAAAGGAATTTGTTTATTAGAATTGGCCAATCAGGAGACGGAAGGGCTCAGGACCTACAAGACAAGACTTGCCAATGGTGTGTAGGTTACAGATCATATAAGGCAAAATCACAAGACGCCGTTGGTTAGGGGTTCTGGGTCATGTTTGGAGCTGTTTAGCCAGAGGTGACGTAAGGATAATAAGTCATTTCTTCCAAGGACGACTCTTAAGTAAGCTCCCAGCTCCCAGTCCCAGACGGTAGCCAAGGGGTCCTCCAGGCTTCCAGGCTTAGGACTTCAGAGCTGAAACAGAACTCAGATTATGATGTTACCTTTAGCCTGCTCAAGGCTTAAACCCTGTCACCATTCGTCAAACTGGGCTGTTGTCTTCCGCCACCTCAGGGGTCTAGGATCGTCCTGGTGAGAGGCTAAGGCCAGACCAATGAAGTGTGCTGAGAAAGAGAAGGGGAAAAAATTGCTGGAATGCCTCACTGAGCTTGGGAACATCATTTATGTTCACGGGTTTATTATAAAGGATGTAACTCAGGAACGGCCAAATGGACGTGATGCCCAGGCAGGGCAGGGCCAGGTCATCCTCCCCGCATCTCCCTGTGTTCGCCAACCCGGAAGCTCTCCAACTCCCTTTGTTCAAGAGCTCCACAGAGCTCACTGCATCTCCAGCCCACCCCGCCTTCTGGAAGGCTGAAAGTTCCAACCTTTTAATCACTTGGTCTTTGGACCAGTCCCACCAGGAGGCTATCCAGGAGCCCTATCCTGAGTCACCTCATTAGCATAAACTCAGTGTGAGCGAAAGGGGCTCCTTATGAATAATAAGATACTCCTCTCACTCCAGAAATCCCAAGGGTTTTAGGAGTTCTGTGCCAGGAACCTGGGGCAAAGACCGAATACATTGGTTGTACCACACACACACTCGTGGCATACACAGTTACACTCAACACGTGCATACTCACAGACTTGCATACACATATGTGGGCACAGCACACACACACACACACACACACACACACACACACACACCCGCATGTGGATGCATGCACGTGTGCACCCATTCACATCCGCACCCCTGCACACACTGGCTCCCAGGCTCTTCCCCTAGCATTTCCCCTGGGGCCCTGAGATCTCTCCCAGGTGCTCGGGCCTCAGTCAGAGCAGCCCCCAGAGGTGATCTCAGCCCAGAACATGGGACTCTAAATGCGAGCGGCAGGAAATGGCTCTGGCAATGCCTGTTTCCTGGACTCAGAATTCAGGTCTTTTGGCCAAAGAAGAAAGCACTTTGAGGTTTTCATCGAAGGAGCCACTAGGGCACCGAAGGGTCACAGGGAGGCAGAGGAGCTCCTTCCAGTGATCTAAGCTCAGCTCTGCTACCGACTTCCCGATGACCCCATCCTTGGGCACGCTGACCTGGTGACGGTCCCCACAGCACCGTCCTTTGATGCACTGGGGGTTCACACACAAGATCTGAAGATCAAACATGGGAGATCGAACTTTACTCCTACATTGAAAAGGTGAAGGCTGTAGATAAAAAGTCAAAGTGATTTCTATATCTCTGGACCTTACAGGAGAAATGGATGATAGTAGAAAGGTCCTGCTACTTGCCAATCCATTTTCTAGCAGCCAATGAAAAGGCAGAGACGTTTTGAATGCAGTGTAGTCGGTGGTCAGTCATGGTGAGGATTTTGCCTCCCAGAGGGTCTCTGGACATGGGTGCAAGAGGCAGAGATATAGCACCCTCTTCCAGAAGGGATGGTTTGGGGAATTTTCTCATCCAGGAAAGAAAATTGAATATTAAGCTTAATATTGCCTGGGGGGCCAGTGATAGTGTCTCTCCTCTGCCCACCACCAGCCCTGACACACACACAAGGCAATGTCTGGTTTTAAAAGTGCTTATTATGATAACCAGGGAAAAGGCATGACAATTAGAAGTCATGAATATGGCAAAATGGCCGCTTGGATTTGTACATAAGACAAAATGGGAAAATTCAGAAAGGTGATATTTCAAAATTATTCCCAGTGGCCAGGGACACATAGCCTTCTACTCTTAAGGAGCAGAGTTAGCAAAACGGTGAAAATCATCTCAAGAAAAGAGAAACCTTGAAAAGAAAGAAGTGGCCCCAGGGGCTGTCCCTCTCCTATCTGGGGTACGACGTGGCCCTGACTCAGCTGCCCTCCTGCAGCCAGGGTCGGATGCTGGCTGACCCTGTGTTTTCTCCCCTGAAGGCAGTGTGCCCTGGCAGCCCTCCGTGATGTCCGGCGCTTCCTTAGTGAGGAGGGGGGACATGTGGCGGTGAGTGTGATACCCTGGTGACACCTGGGAGTGACATGTGGGAGCCCACACACATCTATCCCTTTGCTTACCAGGCCTCTGGAGGGGAATGCAAGGGGTGTGTGGCCCAGAGGCACCTGGGTGCCAGCCCCAGGAGGAAGTCGCAGGTGCTATGCAGGAGGAAGCCAGAGGCTGGATGTAGGCTAGGAGTTTCTTCCAGGCCTTGTCGTTGCCTTTGACCTGTCAGGACTTCCCTTGGAATTCTCACATTTTTGGCCACCTTAGAGGTTAGAGGGATCGAGTTACCAAAGTCTTTAGCAAATGCGATTTCTCCTGGTATAGAGAGAATCCTGCCCAACATTATTGGCTGTTCCAGGAACCAGCTGAATCCTGGGTAAGGAAAGTCTACCTGTGTGTTAGGCCCTCAACTCAGGTGGAAGGTTGGGACAAGCAAGGCCGAGCAAGGATGTCTGTGGGAAAGGACACTGCCCCACCCCTATGCAATCAAACAGAGCAACTTTTGTCCTACCTGTTTCCTCTTGGGGGGCGTGCCTCCTGGACTGCCCTGTGCCCTAGCTCCATCTGGATCAGAGCCCTCTAGGTCTGTGGCACGGCTGTCACCTGGGAATTCCCTTCTCTTCCTTCCTGACTTGAATGCCCTGCTTTTAGATCTGGTGTCTTCCTTTTCTGTGGTTTACTGACTCTTTTTATTGGAGCACATCCTCTAATAGCTTCCTGAGAAAGGGACTTGGGAAGTAGATTTCATGAGATCTTGCATGTCTAGAAATGTCTCTTTTTATTTTTATATTCTCTGGTTGGGTATAGAATTCTAGGCGGGAAGTACTTTCCCCTTTGAATTTCCACAACATCGCTCCCTTGTATTATGGCTTCTAGCATGCCTGTGGAAAAGTCGAGTGTCATTCTGATTTGCTGATCTTCCTGAAAGTTTTGTCTCTTGGAGGGAGCTGGGGGCTTCTCACGGCCCCTCCTCAGGGGAGGCCCGTGGGGTCTTCAGGGTGATGTATCTTGTGGTACGTCGTCTCTTCAGCACCATTCTGGGGCCGGGAACCCTTTCTATCAGGAATCTCTGTCCAGCAAGTCAGCGAAATTGTCGGACGCCATTACTTGTGTAAACCTGCCACTTTCTGACAACCGATTCCTCCCTTCACTCCCCTTTTCACAGCTGCTTTTCCCAGAACGCCTCGTGGCTGCATGCTAGGGTCGATCCCTAATTTTATCTTTTTTTCCCCTTATTTTCTCTCTCTGCCTTTTTTGTCCGCCTTCCAGAGAGATTTTCTCAACAGTATCTTACAAGTATTTGATTGAATTTTAAAAAATTTTTCTGTGCTCACATTTTAATTTCTACATCTTAAATACTTTGTTCTCTGACATTCCAGCCTTTTGAACTCTGCTCTTAGTTCGTGGTTCCTCGAGCGTTCTGTCTCTCTCCTTAGATGATGATCTGTTTTTTGACGTTTCCTTCTGTTCATGCCCGTCTCCATTTTCTTGAAGTTCTTTTTATTCTGTGTTAGTCTCCGTGTTTTGTGTTAGCAGTTTTGCTAGAGCGTCCAGTGAATCCCGGTTGAATGCCCTTTTGAAAACGTGCTCTGCAAGCTGCTGGGACCTGCAGGTGAGCAGGCTGCCCGCGAAGGCACCTGCACCAGCGCCAGGCACACAGAGCCGGCTGGACGGGGTGGGGACGGTGCCTGGGGCTCCACCAGCTCTTGGTTGCTCGGCGGCCAGTCTTCCCATTTCCTCCACACCCTGGTCCCTTTCGTCAGAGATGCCTGTGGCCCTGGTCCTGACCGTGCTGGTGCTGCATGAGCAGGTGCGCTCTGGTTGGCGAGGGCTCCTGTTTGTTTTCCTCCATTTCCGAGTCAGTCACCACGTATCTATCTATCTTACGCATTTTGTTGACATCTCCCGTTTCTCTCCCGTCTTCTCCTGTTCTCTTTATCTTTCTGTTCCCATTCTGGGGTCTCAGGATGGAGTGGAAGTAAACGTGGGTTCACTGCTCCAGGTTTAACTGGTTTCCCTGGAAGACCTGTTCATCAAAAATGGATTGAGTGCCTGCTGTATAGAGAGCAATGCTGAGTGCATTCCTCAGTGCCGAGGGTTTGGCGCCGGGCTGGGAGCAAGGCACCTACTCCTTTGGCTTCCTTGGGGCGTGCTCCCCAAGAAAGGGGAGGAACAACTAAGCCCTCGCAGGTCTAAAGGAGACTGGCCGGGTGGGTGGCCTGGGCAGCAGCTGGTCTCGGTGAGAAATCCTGTCCTTGTACTGTGGCGGTCGGTGGCCTCCTACCTTCTCCAGGGCCAGAGGCCAAGTTAACTCCAGTTTGGTCCTAGGTTTTTGATGCAACGAATACCACCCGGGAACGGAGAGGGACCATCTTTCATTTTGGGGAACAGAACGGCTACAAGGTGAGACCTGGTTGGCTCCCCTCCTCGGCTGGGTCGTGGCACGTTTCGACCCTGTGGGGCCCCTTTCGTGGCCTCTGATGCGGGCAGGGCATTGGACAGGCGGGCCACCACGTTGACTTGGGATGAGAGGGGCTGCATTTTTCTTTTCCACCTGTAGTCTTCTTTCTGGGGAGGCCAGGGTCTCGGGAGAGTCCTGGATAGGGCGGCACCTGCTTTGGTTCCGTGCTTCTAGACCCTGCCCCCACCCCCAAAAGAAGGGCCTGGGGGCCCCGGCTGCTCAGCTTGGCCCTCAGTGGACCAGGGCTCCGTGGAGCTAGGCCCAGAGCCCTGAACGTGTCTCTGGTCCCTTCCCTCCGGCCCACCCCGGTCCTCGCCGCAGACCTTTTTCGTTGAATCCATCTGCGTGGATCCTGAGGTCATAGCCGCTAACATCGTGGTGAGTGGTACATCTGACCTTATTGGGACAGTAGTACAATGAAGGTGGCATGGGACAGTGAGGTCCCTCTCCAGCCCTTTGGCCGATGCCTGGGCTGACCTTAATTCGGTCTCCTGAACCTTGGGGCGGGGCGTGGGAGGCAGTGGAATGCTGGGTCAGGTGAGCCTGCACCCCTGAGAACCTCTCCTGTGGGGCTGTGTCGCTGGGGGCTCATTCCTGCTTTTTTTTCTCTCAGAATCCCCTGGACAATGCGAGAGGAGCTTCAGCCCCTGGGTAGGGGAGCGGGGGGGAGGGTGGTGTTTATATTTGAAAGAGAAAGAATCTTGACCCCTCTCCCCTACCCCCTGTTTATCCCAGGAGTGTACATCTGATTTTGGGGAGATAGTTTGGGTGGGGAGGGTCTCCAGGTCCCTCTCCCCTCTGGCCTCACCTCCCCCTGTCCCACAGGGCAAGGGACTCCAACCTCAGGGTGCCATTAACACTCTCTTAGCACCACTGTGGGAACTTGGACCAGGGACCAGCCCCCTGGGCCGTCGCCCCCCTCCCCAGCCTCGGCCTGGCCTCCCGCCCAGCCACCCCCTCCCCGCCCAGCATTCTCCTTGGTCTCTGGCCCTGCCTGGCCTCCAGCCTTGACGCGTCCTTGCTCTGTGCATGGCTCCGGCAGCAAGTGAAACTGGGCAGCCCAGACTATGTCAACCGCGACAGTGACGAGGCCACCGAGGACTTCATGAAGCGCATCGAGTGCTATGAGAACTCGTACGAGTCTCTGGATGAGGACCTGGACAGGTGAGCGAGGGAGCCCGTGTCCTGCAGCTCTGGTGGGGGTGGGGGCCCCACCTGGCTGCCATCTTGGGGCTTCCCATGGTGGTGGCCGAGGGGCCACCCCAACAGGCAGAGGTGGTTGGACCTTCTTTGTTTCTTTCCTTGGGGCAGAAGTCATGGGCCTGAGGTGACTCGCAGGAGCTGTTGCCTTATCTGGAGTGCTGAGAGTCAGAATTTTCTATTATTCCGTCATAAGATCAAGCCTGATTTACGTACAGGGGGTCCTCCCACAGGCATTTGCAAACATGACGTGCTCTTTAAAAGCACAGTCTGTTTTGAGAAGGGGACAGTGGTGCCAATGAGTGGTGGGCGGGGAGGATTCTTTAAGCCCACAAGGGGACGTTCAGTTGGGGCTCTCAGAGCAGCCGTCAGCAAACTTGTTCTCCAAAGGGTCGGGTAGTAAATATTTTAGGCTTTGGGGCATACAGTCAGCTCTGCCATTGCAGTGCAGAGGGAACTTAGACCACAAGTAGATAACCGGGCGGACCGTGTTTACCTAGACAGGCCGTGGGCTGAATTTGACTTACTGGCCATAGTTTGCCAAGTCCTATCTTAACATAAGTGGGGGCAGTGGTTAAGTAACAGCGTGAGCCCTTGGTAAAGTATTACACAGTCAGTATAAACCATGCTAAAGAGATGTGGGAAGGTATATGTCATGCATTGAGTGAAAAGGCTGGGATATGTCTTTGTGCTTGGGTCATTTATAATTACATAAGAATATGTAACACCCAGGAATCAAGCGGCACAAACGGAGCGGGTGGAGGGGTGGTTTCCGGGGTCTGGGCTTCTGGACTGGCCGTGAGCCCGGCCGGGCCCTGCAGCCAGCCCGAGCCGGTTGGAACTACACGGCACTCGCCGCCTGGGCCTTTCTGTGGTTTTTGGTGTCTCCCTTGGTCTCCCCGGCACAGCATTTCTCGTCATGATTCTGTCGTGTAACCGTAGGAGAGGGGCTGATCTGGACCAGCGCCTGTCGGATTTGCCAGTAAACGTTGCTGATGTCTTTATCGGTGGTGTCTGCGTAACACCCCTAAACCTAAACTGAGGTCCCATGGCCCAGACAGTGAGAACTCAGATGAGAACATCTGTGGGGCTCTGGGCTGAACCCAAGCACAGTGCTTGAGAAACCACACCTTTGCCTCCCGCCGCCCCCACTCCCTCTGCAAACATAAGCAAATAAGTGTGCTCTGCACGCTGCGACGTGTCACAGGTCCAAAGCAGGGACAGTGGCTGAGCTGGGTTTATCGGCTGCTGCCACCAGCACCATCCTCCCATGCTTCTTGTCTCACCCGCCCGCTGCCCAGTGTGGGGCAGGGCTGCTCGGCACACATTGATGCCCCAGGCCGGGTTCTAGGGGAGAGTTCCTTGGCGGAAGGAAAAGCAGCTGACTGGAAGGGGTGGAGGGGAGGACCGTTTGCCAGCTACTCCCAGCTCAATCCTGCCCGGAAAAAATGGCTCTTGTCCATCTTATAGATAGTGTGTTGAGAGGTCAGAGGTAGACGGGAGGGGCCTGGGGGACACGGAGCAGCGGCTGACATCACAGAGTGACCTGACTGACCCCTCGCTTTAGATGTCGCCTTTTGGGAGTACGATAAGTGTTGAGTACCTCCCACGGGGTTCGTCTGTCTGTCGCCTGTGTCACGTCGCTCCTCCCTCGTGCCCATCACGTGCACAGCAGCTGACCGACAGTCCCGTGCGTTGCGACGTCGAGCCTGGTGGGCAGAGATGCAAGCAAGGCTCTTCGGCCAGTTCCTGTGGCTGGCGGGTTGTGCCCTCGATGGCCCTGGGTTCACTCACAGGCCTCTCTCTGCCTTCCGTCTGAAAAGGGATCTGTCCTACATCAAGATCATGGACGTGGGACAGAGCTATGTGGTGAACCGCGTCGCTGACCACATCCAGAGTCGCATCGTTTATTACCTCATGAACATCCATGTCACTCCCCGCTCCATCTACCTCTGCCGGCACGGTGAGAGTGAGCTCAACCTCAAGGGCCGGATCGGAGGGGACCCAGGACTGTCTCCCCGGGGCACGGAGGGC